GGCAGCCATGCCCCCTCTTCTGTCCTGCATCCTGGGTCCAAGGTGTGATATCTATCACTGGTTGCATTTTCCCCTAGGACCAGGTGATAGGAGGCCTGGGTCATTCGTTAGGTGCCTTCCCTCAGGAGTCCTCCTCCAAAGATCTCATCCCCCACTGACACTGCACGCACACACACACACACACACACACACACACACACACACACACACACACACACACAGTTACTATAGACCAACACAGGACAGTTCAACACAACAAAGCAACCAGAGTGAATACAGTCCCCACTTCGGTCACACCTACGCAGTTCATGGCTAATGAAAAACATGTCACGGACCATGACAGCTGCTCGCTGTTGTGACCTCTGGTCTGTTGTGTACTTTTACCCTACTATACAGATGTCTTGGGAGAGACCAGCATTTCTCAAACTGAAAGTCCTGACCGAAAAGAGGGTCCCAGGAGGGGTCACAAGATTATTGTGTGACAGGAGTTGCCGTATCGCCACACTAACTTCTACGCAGCCTTTCGAGCTGGGTGGCTAGAGAGCAGTGTCTTTTATTCTGGTGCTCAGCTCGGAAGACAGGGTCATGCCAGGAGCGGAGCAGAGGTAAGGGTGGGGAATAATCTTGTAATTCCCCTCACCCCCTTTTTGGTCAGCACTGTCACAGATACACTGTGAAATCTCAGCCAGAAATATCAGAGCTCATGAAATGTGCTATTTAAAAAAAAAAAAAAAAATCCAGTGACCATGAAATTGAGCTAAAGGGACCCGACATCCTTTTTTCCAGGCCTGTCTCTGCCTCTGTCAGGGTGGGTGTGCGGATTTGTTAAGATGCTTTCCAAGAATATCTGGAGATGGACAGACAAGAAGGTACCGGGGGCTGTTTAAAATGCAGCATCCAGTGGCCGGGGCTGGGTTCCTCGAATACTAAGTGGTTTCTCCCCCTGCTTTGGGGGTGAACAGTTTGAGACTTGCTGGGGTAGAGAATAAGGAAGGCATCCTGGAGTCAGAGCTGATTGGGATTGTGGGTCCTTCTTTCGCAGTGGCTGATTTTGGGCTGCTCTGTGCCAAGCTGTTTTCGTTTGGATTTTTGGGTATGTTGCCTGATCTACACCAAGCGGATTTCCTCAGCCCATGAAGCTCTGTGGGAAGGCTCATGCATTTGCACAAAGACGCCAATGAGGAAATGGAAAGACGTGGAGTTATAGAAAAAAAATGCGATTGCTTTCGCAAGCCGGCGCCGTGGCTTAGTTGGTTAAAGCGCCTGTCTAGTAAACAGGAGATCCTGGGTTCGAATCCCAGCGGTGCCTTTTCATGCCCGGTATTAAGGGGGTCCACTGATCTCGGCTCGCTCTCATTTTAAGGGTCAGTTCCCTTTTTGCCCCCCTTCCAAACGCTGCTGGCCAAAGCGGACTGCAAAAGCAGCGGGTGGGAGGGGGTGGCCAAGGGGATCACAGCTTGTTGTGTTTGCAACACTGACCAATTCAGGGGTCCCAACACTCTTTTCTCAGATCAGTCCCCTCTCCCCCAGTCCCTAAAACTGCCTTCTTCTGTGTCCAGCTTTGTGTTCAGAGCCCCGCCTTTTCATTTCTTGCTTGTGTTTCATTTCCACTGGTGTTTCTGGAAAAGGAAAAGTTATTTAATTATGCCCACAATATTAGAACTAAGGGTCACCAAATGAAATGAATAGGCAGCAAGTTTAAAACAAACTACCATAGCACAGTCAACCTGTGGAACTCCTTGCCAGAGGATGCGGTGAAGGCTAGAACTTTAAAAGGTTCAAGATAAGAGCTAGATAGCTTCATGCAGTTTAGGTTCATCAATGGCTGGATGGGTAGGAATGGTGTCCCTAACCTCTGTCTGGAATTGAATGGCAGGAGAGGGAGTATGTGAGGACTCCCTGTTGTGTTCCCTCCCTCTGGGGCATCAGGTATTGGCCACTGTCGGCAGACAGGATACTGGGCTAGCTGGACCTTTGGTCTGACCTATTCTGGCTTCTCTTATGTTGTGTCCTTGTTTTGAGCTTGTGCTGCTTTGCAGAGATTGTTTTCCCTGCCATCCGATCTTTCAATAAACATGAACACAAACACAGCTCGGGCCCAGTTCTAGTTGCCTGGTAAGGATGCACTCAAACACATGGATATGGATAAACGAATGGCTAATTTGCCTCTGAACAGAGGTGGAGAGATGGTTTTGTTTGCTGATACTTTTTTCCTTCAGAAAGGTCTGGTGCAATGATCGTGGAGTGAGTTTTTCACAACATGCCCCAGGTATAAATTATTTAAAAAAAAACCCGTTTGATACAATTGATTTTTAAAAAGCAACATTCCCAAATAGAATTGATTTTAAAAAAGGGAAAAACCTTCCCTGACCGGGAATCGAACCCGGGCCGCGGCGGTGAGAGCGCCGAATCCTAACCACTAGACCACCAGGGAGGATATAGAAAACGCCTCTCTACACGTTTCTATACAACACTGCCAGCATCAAGCGCCCATACAACCTATCCCTCATCCACCCGTCCATCTTATACAAACTCCCATCCCGCCTTTTCTCTTTCCCCAGCCCGGCTTTAGCCCTTCGCACTCGGAAGTAGCAGAGAAACCTCTGCATTTGAGAAAGTGGTTTGTACCAACGAAAGCCTAGCCTCAAATAAAAGAGAAAACCCAGCCTTCAGGTTTCCTCTTTTGCTGGTGCTGGGGTGAGTTCAGGGAAACAAAACAAAAAATCCGAACCCATCACTTCAGAGAATGGGAGTCTGCAAACTGGCCGGAGAGAGATGCTGGCAGAGGGGGCAGGAAGTGACCTTTTCTAAGGGGTGAGAACTAGATTTGTTTAGAGGCCTCTGTATAAACCTCCAGGGTGTTTGAGAGAAGCGGCACCCGCGGAGGTGGGGGAGAAGAGGCGGCCTGGAAAGATCTGACTTCAGTTCGCTGGGTTTCAGTTCATGCTTCCTCCCCTCACCCTCCGATTCCTAGCCCAGTCCTTTAAACGTTAACCTACAATCAAGGCGATACGAAGAAAACGCTGCATTATTCAACAAAAAACACCCCTCCAAATATTAAAGAGAGCAACGCCGAGCCGGGAAACCGCTCAAACCCACCCAGCAGTCAAAGTCGGTTTCAAAAGAGGCTGCACAAAAAATTAATAAAATAAACCTAGAACACGGGCAATAAATGGGACGGATTCCCCGCCTCCTAAGGAACTGGTCTCCTGATCACTCACAGCAGAGGCTGCTATTTTTTCTAATCACTGTCTCTAGAATTGCCCCTTTCCCTGAATTCCCCCTCCCCGTGTTCACTAGTATCTTAGAAGCTACATTTCATTAGAGGGGAGAAGGGAAAGATCAAAATTTGAAGTTTGTATTAATAAGCTCTTGTCCTCTGCCTTGAAGAGACTTAAGATGGCTGACTTTGCACTGCGGGGCGAGCGATTTCAGCCATTTGTAGGACTTCGCGAGACCTGATCTTGCTTCATGTTTTCTACAATAAGTTTAATGAATTTCATCTCTTTCGCGTGGCCATGTGGTGGCTCTTAGAAGAGCCTTTTGGGGTGTGGTAGGAAGCGTGGGGAATCTAAGCTCTCTCCCCGCGGATGCGGCGCGCCAGCTGGATGTCTTTGGGCATGATGGTCACTCGCTTGGCGTGGATGGCGCACAGGTTGGTGTCCTCGAAGAGCCCCACCAGGTAGGCCTCGCTGGCCTCCTGCAGGGCCATGACGGCCGAACTCTGGAAGCGCAGGTCGGTCTTGAAGTCCTGAGCGATCTCCCGCACCAGGCGCTGGAAGGGCAACTTGCGGATCAGCAGCTCGGTAGATTTCTGGTAGCGGCGGATTTCTCGCAGGGCCACGGTACCGGGGCGATAGCGATGCGGCTTCTTCACTCCACCGGTAGCAGGGGCGCTTTTCCGGGCCGCCTTAGTGGCAAGCTGCTTACGGGGCGCTTTGCCACCAGTGGACCGCCGGTGGATTTACGAGCTGTCTGCTTGGTACGAGCCATCTCCGCTGCAGCGCACCGGTGAACACCTCTAGGAAGTCAAGCGCACAGTAGAGGCTTCGGCGTTGCGGCGCGCAATTTATAGCTTGATCCTGGCTCCTCATTGGCTAGCAACTGCACTGCGACCGTTAAGGCGTTTAAATATCCCGGGCTAAACAACGATTGGCGATAAAGGGCTCCTCCCCCTCCTCAAAGCGCGGGAGCTCTGGCGTTCTAGCGCTTCTCGGCTTTGCAAGAGGGAGGGGGGAAGTGGTCTCTAGGGTGACAGAAGAGCTCAGGGCGCGGATTGGCTGGAACTTTAAACACGACCCCTCCTTCCAAAGTAGAGGATATCAGCGGGCTAGACAGCAGTCTCCTCCGATTGGCTGGCGGGGGCCAGTATTTAAATTTCCCGGGCTTGATGATGATTGGCTGGAGATTTGGCGCCCATGTGTGTTTTGCCCACGCGTGCCCGTCACCCTATCCGAGACTCCCTGGCGGAGCTAGGTGGCAGGCGGGTCCCTGCTTTCTGCCGCTAAATACGGGGGTGGGGGAGTAGGAGGCAAGAAGGGGGGAGGCCAATGGACGTGCACAGGGGACCCCTTTGCATATACATAGATTCAGCAAGTGAAACCCGATGTGGGTCACGCCTGAAAAATGTTTCTAACAGTTAAACCGGGGGGAGGCGTTCTTCCTCTCCCATCCTTCGCACAAAAAAGCGCCGCAAGTCATTTGGCCAGGGTTGGATTTTTATGTATGCCTCTTGATTAAACGCACTCCTCGCCCCTCAGGCTCTATCCCATGTACACACACGTAAAAAGGAGTGAATTCGATTTCTGGTTGTTGAGTGGGGGAGGGGAGCAGGGGAAAGAGAAACCTTGTGGATTTCCCTGAATATCTTCCCGCTTGAAGAGTTTCCTTTTCTCTCCCCCGGGGCTGAACACCGGATGTTTCACTAGAGACAGGACTGCTAAAGAGCGAGAAGTGTAACAACTATGACAGAATTAAATTAAATTCAGTTTATTATTCTGGCCTTAACATTTTGTTATTCTGGTTTTTAAACTACCACCAGCAAAGTGTCTCTAATCCGATTTCATTGTTTCTCAGTTTTCTGGTATACCAGCGCTCTACAGCAGAAAGCAGGTTTGTCTGAACACCTATGAATTTACTGCTTGGAACAAGAATTCGGAGACTCAGCTTTTTTAAGATTTTGTGGGTGGCTCTTAAAAGAGCCTTTGGGTTCAGTTGTAAGGAGGGAGAGCAACCTCACTTGCCCTTGGCTTTGTGGCTCTCGGTTTTCTTGGGCAGCAGCACCGCCTGGATGTTGGGCAGAACCCCACCCTGAGCGATGGTGACTTTGCCCAGCAGTTTGTTCAGCTCCTCATCGTTGCGGATGGCCAACTGCAAGTGGCGGGGAATGATGCGGGTCTTCTTGTTGTCCCGAGCGGCGTTGCCAGCCAGCTCCAAGATCTCAGCCGTCAGGTACTCCAGCACCGCGGCCATGTAAACCGGGGCGCCGGCGCCCACTCGCTCCGCATAGTTCCCTTTGCGCAGCAGACGGTGAACACGACCCACTGGAAACTGCAGCCCAGCACGAGAAGAGCGAGACTTCGCTTTAGCCCGGACTTTACCTCCCTGCTTTCCACGGCCAGACATGATAACGCTACGGACAGTCAACTCAAACTTCCGAAAACAAAAAAAAGTAGAACAATAACGCTGTAACGGCCAGCGGGCCTTTTTATCTCCTCTTGGAGGATGGGGTGAGCGATCCCTGATTGGCTACTTTAGGCTTCTACTCAAAATATCCAATGGGAAAACCACTTCTTCACCCCGCCAATTAGAAAAGAAAGAAGCTGCTGATACCCAATAGGAACGCAGCATTTGGAGTCTGCTAATTTGCATCTGCCTTTACAACAGCAATGACGTCCCAGTACGGAAACAGCCAATAGGAAAGCTGGAATCCAGCTACCGTCATTTGCATGGGGGCTCTATAAATAAAGGGCAGCCGGCAGTGTAAGGTATTGCGTTACTTGCTCCTGTATTGAGGTATTTGTCTAGAGATCAAGATGCCTGAACCAGCGAAATCCGCTCCCGCACCTAAGAAGGGCTCCAAGAAAGCGGTGACTAAGACCCAGAAGAAGGGCGACAAGAAGCGCCGCAAGACCAGGAAGGAGAGTTATTCCATCTACGTGTACAAGGTGCTGAAGCAGGTGCACCCCGACACCGGTATTTCCTCTAAGGCCATGGGCATCATGAACTCGTTTGTGAACGACATCTTCGAGCGCATTGCTGGGGAAGCGTCCCGCCTAGCGCACTACAACAAGCGCTCGACCATCACCTCCCGGGAGATCCAGACCGCCGTGCGGCTGCTGCTGCCTGGGGAGCTGGCTAAGCACGCCGTGTCTGAGGGTACTAAGGCCGTGACTAAGTACACCAGCTCCAAGTAACGGCTTTGTGCGTTTTTCGCTTCAAACCCAAAGGCTCTTTTAAGAGCCACCCACTTTGTCTAAAAAGAGCATTGGTTCACTATCAATCATGGGAAATACTGAAGCTTCCGAAAATGGAAGGTGGTGGGTTTTTTTGGTTTGTTTGCATTTGTGTTAAGTGCAACATCTCAAGTAAGAAATTTGGGGCTGGAAAAGTTTGTTTAATAGAATTAGATGAGAACTTAGAGTAACTTCACGGAGGTGAATGCTTTTTGTTCTTTTAAGGTTTGTGCTATCCTTATCCGTATCGACTTTTTAAGTTTAGGTATAGAGAACATTGCTTTTCCTAAGTGACCAGTAGCTTTTTGTAACTAAAAGAAACCTCGGGCCGTATTTTATATTCCGGAAAGAAATAGCACCAAAAATCTTTCACAGACTAAACTGGCAGTAGAGGACTGGAGAGTATTCTGGGTAGGTGTGAATATGCAGAGTGGATTTCTCTATTTAGAAAACGAATGAAGAACCACCGTGGGGAAAAATCACTTGGTTCTTGTTACTAACTGGACAAGGGAAGGACTTTCCTCTTTCTATTTGACACTTATTTTTTACTTCTAGCTTATTTCCTCTTGCCTTAGAACAGAAGTGCAATAAAGTATTTATAGAGCAATATAATACTGCCCATGTGTCACTAATTGGCTAAATAGGAATAGTCATTCTAACATGGTTCACTTTCACGCATACTAAATTTCTCGAGTTATTGGCACCGAGGCAAAATAAAACGAGTAAAGGGCCTTCATGTAAGGGATAGTGTATATTTCTAGCTTTTTAGCAAAATACCACTCTTCGTACGAGTCACGGCCGCCTTACAACTGTAAGACACGTGGAGGATTTTTCACTTTATATTCCCCACTGAAAGCTATAAATGGTTGACGTGAGAGTCCCCGAAGTCAGCCACTGGCGCGGAGGTGTAGTTCAAGGGGTCTTCAGGAACGAGTGAACTCGATCCTCGGTTCCAAACGGCCCACACAGGAGAGTCGACAAGTTGTCACTTTACGTTTGCAAATGACGAGCGAATTTTCTAAGGGTTAGGATGCTTCGAAGTGTGAATGGGGGCGCCCGAGGGGGAGCAAGGCTGCCTTTCGCAGCAGCGCCGGGAAAGGTTTTCCCCAGCAAAATTGAGGGGAGGGGAGGCTTCAGGAGATGAAAGCCAGGGCGTGGGAGAATGAGACATTGTCCCTGTCCGAATGTTTCTATCTGTGCTCACAGGGCCCCGCCCCCTCTCCAGCCCCAAACTTTTGGGCACTTGCGGGGTTACAATCAACAACCACTTTGCAAAATCACTCGGCTGCATTCAAGAAAGGACCTCTCCATCTCTTCCCAGTTCAAGGGCGGGGACTGCAGTTCTGCCCTTCTCCTGTTACCACCCGCGCCAGAAACAAGGGGGGAGATTGGATATACTGAGCACTCAAGGAAACACAAAACACTTCTCATCTCTAACACTCACTTTTGCGGCTTGCTCAGGAGCTCGGCTACCCGAGCTCAGAGATCCCTGAACTTGCAGGAAAGCGATTTCAACTCCATTCTGAAGGGTGAACCGAATTGCCGCATCAAGTTACCCTGCCCTTCTACGCATGCTCCGGCAGATAAGGCGCTAGGTTTCGATTCGAATTTAAAGTTCGGGGCCGTGCACTGATTGGCCCGCATTCAAAGAGCGCCCATTGGAAGAAGCGGAGACACGCGGCTTGGGGCTCTGGAAAAAAGGGGACTAGACATCGGTGGTTTCTCCCGCCTCCACGTTGGATCCATTTAAAATTCTCTCTCTGGTCTGAAAAAAGCCCTTGAAATTATTAAGGGAACCGGGGTGGTGTTAGTCCTCCCGCGGGAGGTGGGTTGGGGGCTAAAAGAGATGAGCTGTATGCTCTGAAACCGTGTTTCTCAACCTTTTTTAAAATAAAGTATCCCCTTTGAAAACAAATTATAAAGTACCCCCTTTAAAATACCCCCAGCACCTACAGTTTTCAGACACAATTATTTTTCTACCATTACAACAGATTTGTTTAAACAGCATACTCGTAGCTGGGCTGGTGATGACATTTTGGGGTATAAAAAGTACAAAAATAATAAAGTGCTGTAAAACTTAAGACAAAAATTCAGTTTTCTCCAAATTTCAGTAGTCTTGACAACCCCCCCAGACTTCTCTCACTCCTACCACTGATTGAGAAACACTGTTCTGAAACATCAGTCACAGCTTAAGTGGTTTTGGGGATTGAAGCTTGAGCCCTCGGCAAAGTAGATGGTCCCTCCAAAAATAAAATACAGGACTATGTAGCACTTTAAAGACTTAACAAGATAGTTTAAGTGATGAGCTTTCGTGAGCCAGACCCACTTCCTCAGTGCTACATAGTTCTGTATTTTGTTTCAGCTACACCAGACTATCATAGAATCATAGAATAATAGGACTGGAAGGGACCTCAAGAGGTCATCGAGTCCAGCCCCCCGCCCTCAAGGCAGGACCAAGCTCCGTCTACACCATCCCTGACAGATGTCTATCTAACCTGTTCTTAAATATCTCCAGAGAGGGAGATTCCACCACCTCCCTTGGCAATTTATTCCAATATTTGACCACCCTGACAGTTAGGAATTTTTTCCTAATGTCCAATCTAAACCTCCCCTGCTGCACTTTAAGCCCATTATTCCTTGTCCTGTCCTCAGAAACCAAGAGGAACAAATTTTCTCCTTCCTAACTAACACGGCTACATTTCTATCACTTTTCCTCCAAAAATAAGCTCTTCTCCTGTGTGCAGGGAAACAGCTGTATTTGCTTCCAAAGGAAAGCTTGGTAAATGACAGGATTATGGTGAAAATGCACCCAATAATTTTCAGAAGAGAAATAATTCATAACAATTGTAGGCTCCAAGCCGGAGTTTCCATGGTGCTTTCTGACTCATGCTTGTTCTGACTCATTTCTTCATGGGTTAGGATCCCTCCTTTGTATTCATTCACCAGACCCCTAGAGAGAAAGTCTCAGAGGCATGGCCGTGTTAGTTAGCAAATAAAAAAACAACAGATCTGTGTCTACACTGGCCAGATTTTCCAGAAAATCAGCCGCTTTTCCGGAAAAACTTGCCAGCAGTCTACACTGGCCACTTGAATTTCTGCAAAAGCACTGACTTCCTACTGTAAGAAATCAGTGCTTCTTGCGGAAATACTATTCTGCTCCCATTCAGGCAAAAGTCCCACGGATGCTTTTCCACAAAAAGTGCTTTTGTGGAAAAGCATCCGTGCCTGTCTAGATGCTCTTTTCCGCAAATGCTTTTAATGGAAAACTTTTCCGTTAAAAGCATCTGTGGAAAATCATGCAGTCTAGATGTAGCCTTATAGTCTATACCAGTGGTCCCCAACCATTTAAGGTTGCTGGGTCCAGGGGGTGTGGCCGTTTGCCCGCTGGGCGACAGAGGGCAGGGCCCCCCCATAGCCACGCGCCCCCCAAGCGTCACACCCCCCCCAAGCGCCGCGCACCCGGGTCCGG